TTTCATGTTATTCCTGCGAGGGAAAACAGGCGTGTTGTTCCCGCTGAAGTTCGCTTCGCCTTAAGGCGTGAACAGATCATATTTTGTGTGCCTGACAATCCGGGTTATCCCAAGTTTCCTGTCAATGCTTTTCTGAAAACTTTGTTCTCGGCTGTTCCAATAGAGGCAGAGGCAGTTGTGAATTATGGAGGTATCTTCCTTGAAAGTTGTTTTCACAAAAAGTATTCATGATTATTTGCTTACTATGAATTTAATTGCAGATGTTACAGGTTGCGTTGTTCATATGACAATTCCAGAATTTTCAAATAATGGTGTTCTTAGGTTTGAGCTCATCATAGAAGACAGCAGGTTTCTTGCGTATTCTTATGCTGATTTTTGTTTGTTAGACTTTATGTGGGATTAACTGATCTTTAGCTATTTTGTATAGAGGGGACAGGGCGACAGTGTACTACTCTGGAACTGAGGTTACAAAGTATTTGGAGTTTGCAGGGGAATCTGAAGCTCGACTTCCTCTCATTACTACAATTACTGCTGTTACAAGGTTGCCAATTACAGATGCCGCTGGAGATGCATATGTATTTCAATCTTCACCTGAAAGTCGTCTGATCATTGCTTCTTACAATCACCATTATGAGAAAATCATAAATAGGTATTATTATATTCGAATTCTATGTTTATATATTGACAAACCTGCTCTGTTGGATGCTAGAAAAACAATACGTACATTCTTTTTGTTGTTTAGGTTCATAGGTGATCGAATGCCAGTGACTTACATCAATAGTACTTCTCGCTGCTCTATTGGTTATCTTCGTGGTCTTCTTCCTCCCAAAATAACACTCAAGCAGCTAAAGGATGATATAATGTTCCATGCACAGGCCTACCAGGTATATGTATGATTTTTGTTGTTTTGATTGTATTGGATAACACATATCCCAAATATATAGTCATATCTTTTACCTATTATAACACAAATTCCTTCCTTCAGACTCTCTATCGTTGTATGCTGGAAATGACAAGATTTACATACGGTCCAGAAGTCTTTAAATCATGTTCAGGTTTTCCAAGGTATGATTCAATTTTATGTTTTGCTAATAATCTGTTGTCCATTGCATTTCAGGAAGATCAAAACGTTCCTTTTATTGTTTAATTCAGGGTACGATATGAATTACAAGCAACATGTGAGTGTGAGGGAGAATATGTAGATGTTGTGTTTGATCATGAAGCTGTGTTGGGCTTGGTTTGGGTTTCACCCGAGGAACTTTTCAGTCTAACCTATGAAGAAGGATATCAGTACATTCAAGACAGGTGTTATGTGCCTTTTATGGCTGAAGCTTATGTTGCTCCTGGGACTTCAGAAAATCCTCCTACAATCCGAATTGCTTCAATCTGGAACCCTAATGCTTTTGTGTGATTGAAAACTGTTCTACTTGGAACTTAGTTTGTCGGGATGACTTATTTATAATTATGTATGTTATCTATTCAGGACATGTTGCTCTGTTTTCTGTCAAAAAAACTTATTGTTTTCCCCTAACTACTCTGGTATTTTGGAAATTCACCGATGTACTCACTTCGACAATTGACTGGCCGCTGGTTATTCTGTTCGGTCCATATGGAAGTCCCTGATGTTTGTACCTCAATAGTTTAGAGAGGTGAATGTTTTGTTTTGATCATGAAGTCCCTGATTGGGCACATGGAGAAACTACTTTCCGCCCTTAATATTGTATCTACCAAAAAAACTAGCAGGAGGCATTGTTTGCGTTTTGAATTCTGGGTAGGTTCTTCATGTTCTTCCTATTCTTGCAGAATGACACAATAGAATATTTTATCATGCTACTTTGATCGAACTTTTAAAAGAACATACAAATAAATTGTTTTCACCAAACGACAGACTCCTTAACGTTTTGCAAGACAATAATTTTGGGCCACAAATGAAACTACACCTCCCCTGCCAAATTTAAATATCGGCCCACATAAATGGTTTGGCCCAATTTCACAACGTTGACTAGCGTTGTCGACCCTGCACTACCCTACAAAAAGAGATTCTATTTCCAGAAGTAGACTCTTTATCCGCCGCTGAAGTTTGCTCCACGAACCAACAGACAAACCCTAAACAAAGGTAAATCGCCTTCTCCCTCTAACTCCACTCACAGAATTTACAATTAAAAAAGACAGCTCATAAACAAAGGTCCCTACCACCATGGAAGATTCGCACCAAAAACGCACGACCACGGTAGAAGATTGCATGGTCCCCAGCAACAACCGAGGTAAACACATTCCATCTCAATAGGTGTTCCTTTAAACGTCTAGATACATCTACAAAATATGCCGTTTATGTTTGTCTATTTCTGGTGGTCTTTGACACAATTTCAGAAACCCTCCGATCATCCGCTACTTTTCGAGGGATACGTTTGGGAATCAACCACCGCAGTGTCGTCGCTCGTCTTATAAACACATGGTTTGAATTTCGAGAGGCATACATATGGAAGAAAAGGATGCTGCACATGCTTTGGCTGGATCGAAAGGTGAGTACAACCTTTTAACTTATAGACAGATGAAAGATGACAAAAGTGCTTTAGTTCATTATTTACATGTTTACATTATTAAAGAATAACTCACCATACGTTATGTTTTACTCCAGATCTATGTCATTATTTAAAAATAGTTAGTTACCATGACACAAGTTTGGGCACTGTATGAGCTATGAATGTTTAATCTTGCAGAAACAAATGATAGAATGTTATGTGGAAGAGGAAGATATCGAAGAAATATATGGGAAACTTCAATTAGGCCACCTATATAAACTTGATGACCTGGTAGCTGTCCCAGCAAAAAGAAATGGCAGAGTAGTTCCAAGAGAGTTACAACTGATGATGAAGGCTAATCAGCTTATCTCTCATGTTGAAGAAGACGAGGACAGTCCAGAGGATCCAGTGGACTTATACCCTGCAGCCTTCTTTTCAATGGTGCCAATGCAGAAAAACAACTATGACTGCCATGGAGGTAACCACTAGATACTTTACTTTTACACTTAGAACAAAGATGTAAATGCACTGACAATTATAAAATTACAGACATCACTGGTTGTATCCGACGAGTCACAGTTCCAGAAACTGTTCAGGGCACCCTTAAGGAATTCATCGTGAACATGGAAGATGTGAGGTAACTTCGACAAGTATATTACAATTACATTCAGAACAAACATATGCGAGTTTACTTATATATTCCTAAAATCAGTGGTGCAAAGGCTATTGTTAATTACCGCGGTTGGGACATCATCGACTACCTGAAGATAGCACCGACAGTTGAATCACACCTTCCTCTAATCACCACAATAACTAATGTGATGAGGTTACCTCCTCCAGACAACCAGAAGTATCAATATCGGTTTGTGTCAACAGCAGCCAGTCACCTCATCATGAGATCATACAAAGATGCCTCCAAGGAAATCATGAACATGTACATATATTTGATTGAAATTTTAAGTGTTATCTTTAAAAAAGGCAAAAAACCATGGCTTACAAAGTGGTTTATACACCATTGCAGATTCCTTCCAAGACGCAAACCAGTGACTTATTTCGATCCAATCACGAAGGAAAAGATCGGCTACCTGCGTTCTGAACGACCTCCAAAGAAGACTCTGAGTGAGATCAAAGCAGAACTTGGTGGTCAACCAACTGCTCAAAAGGTACGTTGCCACCCTTAAGTAGCTCCATAGATAAAATAAAATGAAAACTAGGTTCTCTAATCACTCCTACTTGACAAAAAATATTACAAATCCTTTATCGTTGCAAATTTACTATCCCTCAAGTTTGGTACCGAAGGAGCATTTGCAGGACCACCCAGCAAAGGCCAGAGTAAGTTCCACCACACCTGCAAAAACCTTGACTATGACTTAGAAAACATTTACAACATAACTGACACGTTTGTTCTAATTGTAAGACCCCACTATGAAATTCAAGCAATGTTACGTGACGGTTCAGGCGAAGTGGAGATCATAATGGATCATGAGGCAGCTCTGTCAATCATTTGCATATCAACTGGAAGATATCGCAAGCTGGAGAAGGAAACAATCAAAACAATTATTGGCAAAAATTGTGCGAAGGTGTTTGCAGGAGAATTATACATTGGGTGGCCAAATATGAACTCCACAGATCCTCCAGCTCTCATACAAATAAGAGTGGCAACATTGTGGAACACCTCGGCCTTTGACAAGTGATGATCAGTTTCCTTGGAAATTATTGTAAAAATAACTATCAGGCACAGCTTCCCCATCTACCTGCACTTACTCTCTCAGAGACAATTTCAAACAGTTTAGGACTTAATGTACTTTTGTATATTTACTATTATGCTTCTCAGCAACTTTTGTGCAAGTCTCCTAGGATATTATATGGCTCTAAGAAGCCAAGCCATGTGTATTCCATTAATGGATGGTATATAACAAATTTTGTAGCTTTTGTGGGATCGATATGAATTCCCAATATACATGCTATTTCAGCCTGAACAACTATCGATGATCTTAGAATAGAACCTCAATAGGATCAAGCTCATACATCAAAATACAATAACTTAATTGTTCCACCCATCCCGGCGCAGAGCGCGGGCAAAGAAAAAACTAAATCTCTAGTACATTTTGTGTGCACTTAGCTGTAATGAATCGTATATCTATATTATTGTTCTTGGTTGTGTGGTGTGCACAAAATTTGTTAATCCGCGCTCTCTGGCGCAATGAATCTCAACTATTTGCGAATGGTATAGCAGAAAGAACATGACGAAATCCACAAAACAACTGAATCAGACTTACCCCGCCGCGGAGCGCGGGCCGAGTACTAGTTTCCATTGGCGCTTGAACCAATTTCCAGATTCACTGTACATAGCTATTTCAGTGCTTATTATTTTGACTGATCGTTATTACCGTTGTAATAGTGATGAGCAGCCTAAGCTTGTAGAGTTCAGCTATGGTGATGTATATAAAATGCCCTTTTGAGACCATTGCGGACTTCCCCCATCTTATCCTCTTTCATGATAAACTCGACGGCCGCCGTTAGACGATGACAGTATCCACGGCGAAGCTCCCGGTCATAGACCTCTCTTCTCCCGATCGCTTATCCACTGCCAATTCAATCCGTCAGGTTTCGAAATCGTCTTTTCACTCCACTTTAACCACTCTCTCCATCTCCCTGATTCTCTTAATTGCTTGCTGGATTCTTCTTCTCAGGCATGCGTCGACTACGGCTTCTTCTACCTCGCGAATCACGGAGTGGAAGAAGAACTGATCAAGAGAGCGTTCGAGGAGAGCCGCAAGTTCTTCTCGCTTCCGCTGGATGAGAAAATGAAGCTGCCTCGCAAGGAACACAGAGGCTACTCTCCTTTGTACGCCGAGAATCTCGATCCGGACTCCAGTTCCAAAGGTTCTTGTTAATCGGCGGTTAATTCCGCCATCGTTGGCGTTCGTTTGCTGCTTTGTGATTTTTGTTAGGGCTAATTCTGTATCAGGTGACTCGAAGGAAGCTTTCTACGTTGGTCCTGTACGTGGTTCCGGCAACAAAGCGGAGCTGAACCAGTGGCCTTCTCCAGGTACTGTAATCATTCCCCCAATGTTTCCGCTACTACTTTTGAATTGAGCTGTGCAACATTACTCCCCTTGTTGTTTGGATGAGGAAATTTCAGAAGTTCTTCCTTCATGGAGGTCGACAATGGAGTCTTATCATGAAAAGGTCATGTAAGTCATGATATTGTTAATCAGTTCCGAATGAATATCTTCATGCTTGCAAGAGTCTGTTCCTTTGGACTGGAAGGTGTGAGTAGTTTTCCTGCTGCTGATTACTGCCTCAGGTCAGCTGCAGGAAGACTAATCTCCTTGATTGCTCTGGCTTTGAAATTGGATGAAGATTACTTTGTGAAGGTTGGAGCCCTGGATGATCCGGAAGGCTTTCTTCGTCTCTTACATTATCCTGGTAGAATGTCTTTTCATAAGTGTACTTCCTTGATTGCATGTCTATAACTATAAGCTTTCTTGGTCCTTCGAATTCTATGGAGCAAGAAAAATAAAAACTTAAGAAGCTGAAAGGGAAGCTTATCCTTGTTATTGCTCATTAATCTGATGTCAGGTGAACTGGGTTCTTCTGATGAAGAACCAATATATGGTGCTTCTGCACATTCAGACTATGGAATGACCACTTTACTCTTAACTGATGGTGTAGCAGGACTCCAGGCATGTGTTAACTGATGCATCAAGTTTGATTCTAACAATTAATGCTGAATCATGAACTACGGTCATGGTTAAGTAATGGTGTGAATGTGATTTCCATGAATTTGAATGTTGATAGCCATCTTACAGGGCTCTGCCTGATAGCAGGTTTGTAGGGAGAAGTGGAGACAACCTAGGGTCTGGGAAGATGTACCACAGATACATGGGTGAGTTCACAATTGCTAAAAGAATCTATGCTTCAGTATTGTGAAAGGTGTGGTATTTAGGTTGAGCAGTGTCTCTTTAGTATATCCCTTCCCTTCTGTATGAAAATAACAAAGTTCGTGATAAGTGAAACAAGTTGAATGCTATTGTATGCTTTAGTTCAAGCCTATCTGATACTCCTGGTTTCCTACTATAACGTGCTTGCAATGCAGCTTCCTTGCTTGAGCTTTACTCCTATCATTTTGTTAATGCATCTCTAATCCCAGGTGCTTCATCGTTAACATCGGAGACATGATGGAGAGGTGGACAAATTGCTTGTTCCGGTAATTTTCCTTCCTCCTTTCATGTGAACTCGAAAGGGCAATCCTTCCCTTCCCACTTTATAACAACAGGTTTGGCTAAATGTTTGCAGGTCCACCCTGCATCGAGTGATGCCAACTGGACAAGAACGCTACTCGGTGAGTTTAATAGCTTTTGTTTACTGAATATAAGCCATAGGCTGCGTTTTCGATTTATCTTTATGCCAATTTGAGCTGGAGGTTCTATGGTTGGATTTTTTTTTTTCCTTCTATTTTGTGAAAGGTACTGCTGGCCATGCTCTTCATGTATTTCAGTTGTTATCATATGGCAGATGGCGTTCTTCATGGATCCTAATCCAGATTGCATTGTCGAGTGTTTAGAGAGTTGTTGCAGCGAGTCTTGTCCTCCCAGGTACTCTTCGGTTTCGTTCTTTTTATCCCTTTTGCTCATTGCTGTAACCGTGGATGCATGGGATTGAATGATCAAATGCTTTTGCGGTCGCGATTGCATGAGTTTTCTTTACCTGGATTACCATCTTGAAAGTGATTGCAGGTTTCCTGCTATACGGAGTGGCGATTACTTCACTGAGCGGTTTAGGCTGACCTATGACTAGTAGAGTGAAGGCTAAGCTGGCGTCTGCTTTGTATTATATATCATCTTTTTTTTTTTTTTTCTTATTCTCTCTGTTGTAATTTTGTAAAATGACAAAACATAAATTCCAAGGTTTGAATCCATGGTGAATGTTATTATCCACACATTCGCCGTCGGCGTCTTCGTCGGATGAGGTTTCTGACGAGATTGGCGGTGGTCCAGCCACCTCCTTCACTTGCGACACCGGTGAGCGCGCTCTTGCCGGCATCCTTCCTCCGTGGCGCAGAATCAGAATATACTTTTTTGTTTTGTTTCGAGTCAACAATTCAAGTCTAATGCTGGGCCTGACTGGAATATTACTTCCGTGTTGATCCATCTTTATGGACTGGGCCCAGCCCACTTCAAAGTTGGGCCTTTAGTCAAAGCCATGAAAATTGCTCTGCCTGTTGTTTACGAAGAAATAAAATAGAACAAAACAAACGAAACTCCGCCTCGCCTGCTTCTTTCCTTCTTCGGTCTTGGGTCTTCCTCAATCCTCCGTCGCCGGCGGTTTAATATTCCCGTCCTCAAAGTTGACATTCTGGTTATATGCGGAGACGCCTCTATTCATCTAAGCTTGGGAGCTAAGCGTACTGATTCTGTGATTCATTTCCGGGAAGCAAGCTTTTATTTCTACGTGGCGTAAAGTTTGAAACTCGAAGCCGATCTGGTCGTGATCCATTGGGTTAGTGTTCATCTTTCTTCGTCACCAATTGTTTTTCCCTTTGGATGTTTATATCTCTGATTACCCGGAAGAAATCCATTCCTCTCAATCTTCCCAATCTTGGATTCAATCGGAAGCTCGTCGTATGAAGGAACTTCGTAACTTCTTAGATCGTTTCCTAGACTGCCTTCAACCTGTTCGATGAATTGTCTGACTTAGCTGATAAACTTTCGCTATCTCTCCAATCGCGTCAACACATTGAATGTTTGAAACCCATATAGGATGTACATACGTGGATTGATTTTCTGGTGTTTGCTGGTTCTCCATCTCCCACCCAGAGTTTCAGCCATAAGAAAAAACATTGGCTTCCTGGGAAATCAGCTTTGTAGAACTACTGTTCAAGGAAGGTATCTACTTTCAGACGAAAATGGCCGTGTATGCGATGCTCTATCGCTTGATCCCCAATCCCGATGTTGCCCCATGAAAGGAGAGAGGTTCCCCTGTAAAGGATGCAATCTTCTCTCACAATGTTGCAATTCCTATGAATATTGCGTTTCTTGCTGCCTGAATCCATCCACAACACTTGTTGATGAAGTAACTAAGGTGAAGATGGCCAAGACTGCAACTTCGGGGACTTATCCGAGCGTATTCGATTTCTGTTCAGGGAGGTGCCGCCATAACTCTGGCAGCGTGGTTCATGAGAATGCTTATATCAGCGAGTTCCACCATTGCTTCTCTCTGCCCTCGAATCAATCTGTGGATGATCATACGCAGCTAGAAGCACGGCTGATTGGAGTTAATGTGGTGATTGGCGGGCAAGGTGAGTCGTGTGATTTGGTCTGCAAGTCGCAAGGGCAGTCTTGTATTGTGAACAAGCTTCTGGTGCTCAATCAGTGTGAGATCATGAAGAAGTATATGAGTTGTAAAGGAGGGTGTCTGGCTAGTGTCGGAAGTGATCAGCCTGCTGAAGTTGTTGATGATGCTCCAAAAGATCTGAATCCCGGTACTTGCTTGTACACGAAGCCACAGTCGATGCTCTCGTGTGACGGTTCTCATCTTCACACCCAGAGACTCTGCCCTTGTGCCTAGTGATAACGCAAACGAGTGAGTTAGCTGATCTGAATTCACCACAGTACTGCTGTACAATTGAGAAATTTTTGTAACAATGTCGGGAGTTGAGAATGAGTGAATGACCCTGTAAATTGTAAGGGTCTCTTACTTGAGCCTGCAGATGGTTAGTTGCTCTTCTGCTTCTTTGCTTGTTTATGCTTATAGGTTGCTTGCTTCAATGAATGAATACTACCTCAATTTTTTTGGGGCTCTTTTTTGCTGTATTCGTTACAATGCAAAGTAGCAGAGTTGTCTTTCAACATGTGCAATGGTATAACCTTTGGTATTAGCTCAGCGGCTCTGATCGGAACCTACCATCATCTTGTTCTTTCAAGATCAGCTTAAGGTTGGCATTCATTTCCTTCTCTTACCAACTATTTTGCACATTCAAATCTACAGGTTGTAACTTCGATGAAGTTTTTACTGTGTGCAGATGTCCATTTTGGACTCTTCAACGTCAATTTGCGGTTGGTGTACTGTCCTCCGCCGAGACAAAACTCTTCGTTTAGCAGCACTGTGGACTTTCGCAGTAGGATAATGGCGACAACTGCAAACCGTCACCACCGATCAAGGTATAGAGAAATTAGACGCTTCCAATCTCGCGCCACGTTGGTCGTCGGCCGGTTAACATGACATTGACTCCTATGGTTGTAAAAGAATCCCCTAATTCCTGAATTTTGACTATGCGGGCAGTAGAACCCAAAAAATTGTCAAATCTCTTTCAGGAAGAAGAAAAAAACCAAATGCCAATGTGACATATCAAAAACTTTAGCAAAACGTATACGCTACTCACTTCAGTTCAAGGATGGTAAACCCGTATTGCAGATTGTACTGAATTGGTAAGATATTTTGTGATTAGATCGTGGTTTAATCATTTAAATTTCAATACGCAAATTTTACGATCGGGCTGACGATATAGATTAGTTTATCAAAGACACATCATTTAACTTCAATAACAAAAATAATAATTATTATTATTATTATCAACATTTGGAATAAGCTTTCTTATTATCATTATGCGGGGATTTTACAACAATTGATGGAAAAGGTACGTGTATAAGACATCAACCATTTGCTTGGGAAACCACCAACACATAGAATACTCTCTAGACACACTTGTAAGAACCACAGCCACACTGAGCGCGCAATGGCAACCACCGCAACCGCGATTAGCAGCGCTGCCGCCGACCAGCTCCACGACGACGTCTACGACCGGATGAAGGAGGTCCAGGAGTTCGAGGACTCGAAGCTCGGAGTCAAAGGTCTGGTTGACTCCGGCATCTCTTCCATCCCTCGGTTCTTCGTTCACCCGAACTTCAAGCCGGACCCCAACCCGGGCGCCCGACCCGACGTCATCCCGACGGTCGACCTCTCCGGCGTCGACCGCCCGGACGCGAGGGCGAAGATCGCGGAGCAAATCTCGGGCGCCTGTCGCCAGCTCGGATTCTTCCAGGTCGTCAATCACGGGATTCCAGTGGAATTCTTGGACCGATTCGTCGGCGCCGTCAGGGGGTTTCACGAGCAGCCGACGGAGGAGAAGGCGAAGCTGTATAGAAGGGAACCCGGGACTGGGGTTTCCTTCTTTTCCAACATCGACTTGTTTCATTCCAAAGCCGCTAGCTGGAGGTAACACGATCGAATTCATTTCCCTTGGTATTAATCTCCGATTGAAATGGTTTGTTCGGTTCCAATTGTTTAGTTTACTGAGAAGGGAAAACTGTTGATAGAAGTATGTCATCGGAACTTGTGATTGTGTTTTCGAATCGATATAGTCAGAATGGATATAGTCAAAAGCGCGATGGTATGTAGTAGAAGCTTTTTGGTGACGTAGAAAGACAAAAGCGTAAGCTTTTTATAGCCCGATTGTGACTACATTAGTTAGGATAAACGCGATTCTATGTAGAAGCGTAAAATTGTAAGTTTTTTAGTTATAGAACGCGATTTAGACTACATTGGTTCAAATTGTGAACCGTGTTAAAAGATCGGTTTCATTGTTTTCTTTCCAGAGACACGCTGCAGATGAGGTTAGGACCCACTTTACCAGACCTCGAAGAAATCCCTGCCATATGCAGGGAAGAGGTTGTGGAATGGAATCAGGGGGCGAAACAGGTTGGGGGATTGCTGATGGAGCTCTTGTGCGAAGGGCTAGGAGTGAACTCAGGGGCTTTGAAGGAGAGGAGGTTCTTGGAATCCAGAGTGATGGTGGGTCACTACTACCCTTACTGCCCGCAGCCTGATCTAACTGTTGGGATTGCGTCCCACACAGATCCAGGAGCATTGACCCTGCTCCTCCAGGATCAGGTCGGGGGGCTCCAGGTCAAGTTTGGCGAGCAATGGGTTGATGTCGTGCCTGTTAGAGGCGCTCTTGTCGTCAACATTGGAGATCTTTTGCAGGTAATGCGTTGCGCCTGAAATTACACTAGTTTATGAATGAATGAATGAATGAATTATCAGTCGTTGTTTGGTGGTTTCGTTTTGTAACTTGATTTTCACATCAACCTACAGATAATGTCGAACGACGAGTACAAGAGCGTGGAGCACAGGGTGCTGGCGAATCCAACCATGGAGCCACGGGTGTCGGTGGCTGTGTTCTTCAATTCGGATGAGCAGGAGTCCGTTCTGGGACCGATCCCGGAGCTGATCTCGCCCGAGAAACCTGCCGTGTACAGGGAATTCACCAAGTTGGACTACATGAGAAGGTTCTTCACCAAAGAGTTGGACGGCAGAACCCTCACCAATTTCTACAAGCTGTAAGAAAAAAAGAGACTGGTGCATGTGATCGCTTGTACTTGGCTAGAAAAAGAAATTGTGCTCTCTCATACTAAGTCGTGTCTCGTCTTGCATTAGTGGGATGAACAAGTACATACTGATAGATTGTAAGCAGAAGTCTAGGAATAAATACTGATGATGTTGAAGAATACAGTTTTTAGACTATAATTGCATGCAACATCTCTCTTCTTTATTTAGAATTCTCAGCGCTGGCGAAGATAGTTAGAAGGAAGCAAAAATGAAAAAACAGTAAGAATGGTGAGAGACACGGGGGAAGGAGAAGGAAGTCATGGAGTACAGTCCTGCATGTTTGACATATATTATTGTCTTCTCCACATGTAAAGAGAAGGCCTTTCAGAGAATAATTGTTGTTAATTGAAAGCTACTTAGTATTAGTATTAGGAATTAGTATCAAAAGATTAATCGTATGGTACAGATGATTTGATTTTTTTTTTTACTAAATTGAAAGGCGATTTTAGTGATGTGAAATGGTTGACTACGATGAAATTACGATTTCGACATAAAATATCATATCGCTAATTTTTACGGCATAACCTCTTGACTCTTGACAGTTTTACAATTCTTGATTATGATGTGAATTTGTGGATTAAGACAAACTAGTTGTATTTCTTCATGCTTAAGCAATTGTAGGATTATTATACTGAATTTATATACGAATGAGGAATTTTACAATGCTTTAAAGAATTGAGATTTTTTTTCAGAAATAACACAATTTAAAAAAAATTATAAAAATAGCACCCAATCCTGAAAAATTTCAAAAATAACACCATTTAGCGTTATGGTACAACTTTAGGTTGTGCATATACTCTTTTGTAAAATCCTTTTATTGGACAAACTAAAGTTGTACCTATATGTTATGGTACAACTTCAAGTTGTACTACGAGATAAAGGTCAAATTCACTTATGGTACAACTTCAATTCGTACCTTTAACGTTATAGTACAACTTCAAATTGTACTTTAAAGCACTCATACTTTAAAGTATAGTATAAGTGCTCCTAACGAAATTCCTATTATGTATTGAATTTGTTATAGTATGTTTTTAAAATTATAATATGCTACAGTAGGTTTGCAAGGTTTGTTTTTTTTGAATCTAATATGATTAATATTGAAATATTTTACATGTATTTTTCATGATATATTAATCTTTTTGCTCGATAATATCCATACAACACAATGACATATTTATGTTTATTCACACAACATACTTAGAGTATTCAACATTATTAGAATATCTATCTATATCTATATCTATATCTATATCTATATCTATCTATCTATCTATACTAAATATTATGGCTATTCAAAAATAACTTCTTGCCAAATAAGCAATTGGTGAATGCACAAGTTGTCTAGGTGGACAATTTTTTTACAAACAAAAAACTATTTATTGATCTATTTTTGAAGCTATCTCTCTCTTCTTTTAATAATTCTACTCATTTTTACTAAAATTAAAATAAGTTAATTCTTTAGGAAACATTTAAACAAACACATACATAAGTAATAATCTTTTTCAATTAAACAAACAATAAAGATGGAGAGTGACATATATCGTATTTATTTAACCCAAGCTGATTAAATCTGATTAAGTAAATTTTCTACTCATTTTACTAAAATTTAATAATAAGTTACATTTTGATGAAGAAAAAAAAAACAAGCACACACATCAAAATAATAATTTTAAATTAAACAAAATATAAACGATGGTTTAAGAGAAAACAAATGTTTGATAATCAATCGACTTTGAGAAATGAACAATATGACTTTATGTTTTTTGCTATCAAACGCTTACTTCTTTCTAATGTATATACCTATCAAATAAAACCAGTATAAATTTTGTAGCAAAATGTTTGATTATAAACTTGACATAACAATAATTGTTATTTTTAAAAAACTTCTTATTTATTCCAAGTAAATGAAAACATATTAATTATTAATGCAAACTTTTAATTTGTTTATGTCCCTTTCCTCATTTTGATTGTCTCACTAGAAATAAAATCCAACTTTGAAAATAAGAAATCAAGAAAGTATGTCAACCACCACACTACGGGAAAAGTGAGATTTGGCAACACCTGAAATGTGTTGCATGATGTGTCGAAAGTGTTACATAAGCGATATGCAACACTTTTAGTAGTGTCCTCTATAGGTGGTGTTGTATAATGTAATAGAGAACACTTATTCTAATTTATGCAACAACAACAAAATATGTTGCATATGCATATCTTATATGCAACACCCTTTTAGGCAACAACTTGAAAATTTTATTCAACACTTTTTAATAAGTATAAGCAACATGTATATTCCTTATCCGTGATGAATCTTATTGTCACATAAGACATTCAATTGTGACGAATTTATTTTGTAACAAGTACTATACATTTGTGACGAGAGCGTGTCAAAACCAAACGTATTTCAACTGTCACCATGTTCAGTTGTAACAAATGTGTCACATTTTAGACGGTGTTTTGCCACAAAAGCAAGCTTTTGTGACTTTTACTCTGATCACAATGTCATGTTTTTGTGACAAATCATTTCGATACGTATATTGTTTGTGACAAAAAGGTTATCACATCTATTTCTATTGGCGACAAGAGCTACACTCATAAAGGAACTCAACTGTGACAAAGATTTATCACTAATGAATTCTTTCGTGACTAATTTGTCATATATAGAACTAATATTAGCTACCACTAATAAGGATACTAATGTATAACAATCGTGGCAGTTACGTACTTCATAGATGGAATTCATTTGTGACAATACATTGAAGAAAAAAATTATCCTCAACTCCAGTCTCAATATAAACTAAATAGCTTTAAGAAATCAAAATAAAATTTTTCTTCGACCAATCGGCTGAACATAATCTCATATCTTCTTCATGCTTTACTTGTAGGCGTGCTATATATTGTCATCGAATTGTTCCCCTCCTGTTAGCTTGGAGTAGCTGTTGGTGTACCCCTTCATCTATGTTGTGCTCGATATAATTCAAAGCTTAGAATGAACCAAGACATCAAAGTAATGATTTCACCTTCTTATCCAGCGCCTAGTTTGATTTCCCAATCTTGCCCCACTTATGCAGTCCTTTCTCGATTACTTCAACCATCTTCAGAGTTTGCTTCTTACACCTACCCTCATAACCATAAAAGAAATTCACTAATAGTCTTATTAATCATAAAAATGGGGAAATTTTCAAATCATAGTCAAGGCAAATTTAGGAACTCCGTTGGCTTACATGGTAGTATGGCGGTCCACATCAAGCTGTTGTTGCTAGACTTGGAGGGAGTCAGATAGCGAGATATCATGGCGTTGAAACGAGCTACTGCAACTTCATTGCCATCAACATCCACCCTCAGCAGAAGCTAATTGTACATCCACCCTTTTTTTAAGTGAATCTACCCTCCGTTGATCTTCCACTTGACCGCCGAATTACATACGTCTAGCGGTGAGAAAATTATATAAACCCCATGCAGCAGTTGGAAGCAAGCAGAGCAACGGAAGTACCAGGCAGGATGAAGAGCTCATGTTGAATCAATGGATGTTGCCTCGAGATCGCCTAGGATGTGAATGGCGGCGGCGCTAGATTGGAGTGGCGCATAAACTTAATGAAAACCCTAATGAGGAGAAAGATGAAAGTAAATTCGGGGTACGAGAGTGAAGATATAAGGGCCATATATAACCCTTGGACAATTAGTTTAAACTTTCCCCCAGAAACCCTTACTAGTTACTACTATTCAATTGTCTTATTATGGAGTTAAATACAAATTAAGAAAAGTGAACAAAAAGGACAATATTATTTATAATTAGTGATGGGGCTATGTGTAGTTCCAGGTGACCTATACCCTCTTCCTCTGAATTTGATCTTTGATTATAATTTGTGTATAAATAAAACAACGAAAAGTAACCGGACCCTAGTAATTTTTATTTCTAGCCCCACTATAAATCCCAATTTTACCACTATTTAAAATTGAGCACTACTACTATGCTATATAGTATTGGTGCTTTAATGTACAACTTAAAGTTGTACCATAACATTAAATGTATAAGTTTAGGTTGTCCCATAAAGTAATTTATATCATTATGTTATGGTACAACTTTACAACTTGAAGTTGTACCATCACATAAAGGTACAAGTTCAAGGTGTACCATAAAAGAATTTGTACAAAAAGTATAGGTACAATAACATTAAAAGTACAATTTCAAGTTGTACCATAAAGATAAAAACCTATAGCACCAATACTATATAGCATTGTATAATTCCTCTTTAAATTTTTTTTAATATACACAGGGGAGTTCGACCTTTTCTTTCCTGGAATTGGACCGCTTAGTGAGGGTAATATAGCTGCCTAGAGTTGATGTTCTGTTACATTTTCTTTTCGTTTGTTAATTAACTGTCCACTAATAAAAGTTTTAATATGGAATGCAAAATGCGAGCGACTTCCTTAAAACTTTTGTTTCATTCTTTAATTTACATTACAAATACCTACAACATAAGACACACCTAAAAATATAAGCATGCAAGTATGTAAGGTGTATATACAATTAGTTTGTTCGATTATTGGGATTAGTAAAGTATATTTAATTGTCAAACAGTTACTTTTCCATCATTATTTTCTAAAGTGTTGCTTAAGATGTACAAATAGGTAACATTACATAATTTATGATATAAATGTTGCTTATGATATAACAAATGCAACACAATTCAAGTCACGACTTACTTATGTTGTATAAAGTACCTTTTAAATAACACTTTAAAGAGGTGTTGCCACTGTTAATCTTAAGCAACACATTTAATAAGTGTTGCAGGCATAGTGTTGCCAAAGGCCACTTTTCCCGTAGTGCCATAAAAATAAACAAAGCCCTCTTATTAGTTGCTAATTTTTTTGAGATTTCTAATATTTGTATTCTCATAATTTATATAGAAGGAAATGGTAATGCATATGATTTATTTTTCTTTGTATGAGAATAAGAGGCAGGAGTTACACGAGGCAAAGAATAGATGACAAAATTTTGAGCAGTTTTAACATATTTTTGCCTGTTAACGATTAAAGTTCATATGATCATTGTGAAGATGAGGTGAACCAAGCCGAGGGTTGTCGACTGCTCCCTCTTCCTCCTTGATCTGAAGCTTGCAACTGGTCTCACTTTCTCAGCGATATGTTATTGTTTGCGGTTGACTAGCCGAGTTATACTCTTCTTCCCATTCTTTTTTTAATTTCTTCCAAATTAAGACTGTTGGATGGTAAATTTTCCCACTCTCGATGAGTGAATGTATTTCTTCTTTGTTTTTCATGGAGAAGGGTCACAATATACTTTTATTTAAATATAAAATATTATTAGAAGGGTTAATTTGTTGGACTTAGGGCATACCTCCTTTGGTTGAATAATTGATCATTTTTCTTGAATGTCTATTGCAACTTGATTTCTTGAATGTTGAAATGGAAAGTAGAGTTGTGATGGTTGTTTATTATATTTTATGTTCATGATTGACATGCTACTAGCTAGCAATACAATGATAATCTGTATTTTAGTAATTAGTAGGTAGCAAAGAGGTTATAAGTAGAAAGGAACATATTTGGGGTTTTATAAAGGTCGCGAAGAAGAAAGAAATTATGATGGTGGTTTCTCGGTTGTCTATTTCGATGTTTTTTTAATTTCTACATGTTTGCGGTGACATTTGTTTGTTTCATTAAGGTGAATTTTTCCGCATTGAATCCCTAACTAAAGCTTGATTTTGACATGATTGTTTTCTTACAAACTACTATTTAGATTGATGCATATATTCATTTCACAAATGAGAAATCTGCATGATAAAATGAGTTGAGTTGTATTGAAGACTGCTCCTTTCATTATTTGTCTATGTTGTTGCTAGGTAAAAAATAACAATTCTTTTCTGCAGGAGATATGTAGCTCTCTACAAAATATAAATTGTGTTAAGTATATGCAGTTTAATTTGCTGAAAATATTACTTTAATAAGTTAGTGACAGCTGATAGTTTTGTTTGTGGTTGGTTTTACTAGAACATTTCAAGGTAATTAAACGAGTACGTGGAAGATTGATGGACGTGGATGCTAATGAGTTTCCTCATTATTCCAAAATTGTATGTGTAAATGATATTCATGGGATTTAGATCGGAATATTCTCTATTATCATATACCGACATATGAGAAAAGAGAGGGGAAAAAAGCTCTTCGCTTAATTTTTTATTAGTTGAAGCATATTTTCTTATTCTAACTTCTTCTTTTGTGGCTGTAAATTTTTTAACTTCTTTATCACAATTGTGTGCTAAAGAATGAATCACTCTTATGTTTATAATTTTAAAGGGCGAGTTCGATAAAAAAAAAAATTCTAAATCAATAAAGAACAGTCTACAAAGAGCTCAGTTAATAAATATAAAATGTTCATAAATAAACAAAAAGTATAAAGGTATGAAACAATATCTGAAATAAGATAAATGAGATTTACAATTCCATGTATATTACCTTAACAAACATATATAATAATAACAATTAGAATACTATAACGAATTATAAAAATAACCAAACAAGATACACCGCCCAACGGGCGGGTAAAAAACTAGTATTCAAATAAGGTATTCATTAGGCAATGATATTTGCGTGTCAATGTGCTAAGAAATGTGTGAACACCATATTATCATATGTATGTACAAAATCGTATAAGTTCAATAAATCTTAGAATCAATGTTATAAAATATTAATTAATAATATAATGTTATAAAATATTAGTTAACTAGCCTATAGCCCGGCCCGTTGGCCGCATTTGTTTAAGGAAATGGAGTTACAATATCTATAATGATAGTGTCGAGAAATGAGTCTTGTTTTATATTATCATAAGATTGTTGCAATTTTGCAATTCGTTGAAGACGAACATGTAATATGAATGAACATTCATAATAAGTTAGAAATACATTTGAAGATTAGCTAATCACAATAAAAATACTTACATGAAATTTTACTAATCACAAATCTAATCTAGTTGAGTATTACGACAAATAACATGCAAGTCCAAAATAAGAAAACTCAATACATTGTCTCATTGTTCATGACATGGTACTCAATTCAACAAAGGCAAAAATAATTTCACCAACACAAGTTCACAATAACCAAATGCATCGTTCCAGGGACCGACTGTGACCATGACTTCAAATGTCTGTTCTCCAAGCATGTTCAGAAGGGCCATATAGTCAGCATTGACAACATCTGCATGACTGAATACAGATTCAACAATCATTCGTAACTGTGATGACGGGAAGACGATGTCAACACCAATGAATTCGTCCTCAATTGTGAGGTGGACGAAATGGATTCTGGATGCAGGGGACCAGGACGTCGTCAAATTCGTTACACGTCCAGATAACAAAAAAGAGGTGCCCTGATGTAAACACAGAAACGAATATTGTCAAAGCAAATCGATAAAATGCAGCATGCCACAAAAGGCGTACGATTAAAAAGAAATTTATTTGTTTAGTTACCTTATTTTCGACATCCACTTGCAACATAATGAGATCGATGGTGTCGGCACGCTCACATATTTCAAGAGCATCATCATATTGCAGATTAGCAATAAAACCATGGGGAAGCCTATATATTGGACTGTAAGTTTTGGCATTAAGTAGTGAAAAAGAATTGAAATTACATGATGTAGTATTTGTTGGATGCATGAGCAGTACTTACTGATTGAATTGAGGCAGGCCTGCCATATTGAATGCAATTCGCACGGTCAATGGAACCGAAGTGTTTTGTATGGGAAGTAGTAAACGGAAATTGTAACATGAGAGAAAGTGGTATCTCCATTATATAAAGGAGAGAAAGTGATTCTACACACGTGATTTACTTGGCCGCATGCAGTGGAGTACGTGTGTGTGTGGAAAGTGGGATAGTGGGGGAGTGGAGAAGGATTTGTGGCCTCGTGGGGGAGTGGAGAAGGTTGGCCATTTAGAGTTCAAGAGGCGGGTGTGTCACGAAACTCATGACCCACCTTTTTTTTTTTTTTTTTGAGGGGAACGACCCACCTTCTTAAAATCAAACATGCGCCTTCCTTTTATTTTGTTGCAATTAAAAATTCAAAAACAAAAGAAGGTAAGTACAGAATAAAATATAAAGAGAAGAAAAATCAGTTCACTTTTCCCAAAAAAGACCTAGCAGCTGCCCAAATTATGCTTTTTCAGTTTTAATAATTCTCACTTTATTCTTTTATCTCTAATAAGTGAAACAATAATTGTAAAAAAAATAATTGTTAAGTCTACCAAGTAAGTCAACACCGGTTTATGATCGGTTTTTAATATCGATTAACCACCGGTTATTTGATAAACCTTGAACCCTTTACTAATCCGGATCGATGTCCGGTTCCGTTTTAACAACATTGCTAATTGCGACTGTGTCAACAATTCTTGTCCAAAATTGCCTCTCAAAGTTGCTAATTATTATTTGATGCGCCAACCCGGCCGGCCTGGCCCACACCACCACTAATTAACATGAAATGAAAATCATAATGAATGTATTCAATAAAGAAATAATGGCTTGAAATGCGGCAGCCTTCACCTCATAGAAGATCCAAAAAAATCGGATATTGTGCAGTAGAGGAGGTGGGGGAGTGGAGAAGGATCCGCCCAAGGTAGTGTAGGTTGGCCTTTTTTTTTATGGGAATATGTTGGCCATTTAGTTTCAACAAATCCGGCTGGGCATTCCCTCTCTAAATATATTTTATTTAACTGAACCATGCTTGGGTTGTTTTGTGGGCTGGGTTGTGGTGTTAATTTAGTTTAGTTCAGTTGTGACTATGGAAGTTCTTCTTCGTATTGCAATATAACGGTCACACTCGCATACCCTTTAGTAGAGTAAATTGAGGTACAATTAAATATAAAGTAGTGTGCATAAATCACATTTCATATAATTGGCTGTTAAAAACAGGAAAATAATTTGGACAAATTGAGAACTCAAGATTCAAATTGTAACGACCTGATAAATTTGACAGTCTTAGTCCTCAAATCGAATAAAACATAATACATCAATTAACCACTACTCAAAAATCTCAGTGAACACAATGTTCTGCATAGTCTTCACCGGTTTACCTTGAGAGTCACAGCTAAGAATCTTGAGTCCCCTTTCCGACGTAACTCGAGACATAGCAACATACAACTGTCCATGAGAAAATACTTGTCTTTGCAAGCAGATGCCAACGTGA